ACTGTTAGGACCTAGTCTAAGTAACCATCATTTCTTGCTTGGATTATTGTGATAACCTCCTAATTTCTACTTCTGGACTTTCTCCCCTTCTTGTATTCTTCACTAAGAACAACCAGAGTGTATCAATCCCCAGAAGGAAAGTAGGGGAGGGCGGGGGTAAGGGGAAGAGATCAACCGAAGGACTTGTATACATGTATATAAGCCAAACCAATGGACATGGACAACGGGGGGATGGGAGCATGAGTTTGTGTGTGGGGGGGAGGTTGGGGGTTAATGGGGGGGGGATGAGGACACATTTGTAATACCTTAACTAATAATAAAAAAAAAAAATTAAAAAAAAAAGAACAACCAGAGTGATGTTTTAAAAAAATGTAAATCAGACACATTTGCCCCAACAGCTTTCCATTGCACTTGAAATAAAACACAAATTCTTTCTATAATATATATATTCCTACATAATTTGTCTCTGTCCACTTAACTCTCCTATTACTTTTAATTCCATTCACACCACTGCTCACCAAGGTGCAGTAGCTCCACTTCCTTCTGTTCCTTAAAGGAACCAGATGTGTTCTACCTTTGAAGTTCTATATGTATTCTTACCTAAGTTTATTTTACCCACTTGTTTGCTTGTTTATATGTTATTTGTCTTTCCCATTAGAATAAAATATTCATAAGAGTAGAACCTTTTCTAACTTATTCACGCATTTCAATTCAGGGGGAAAAAGAGAGGTGGCCCTGAACACCACCTCCACTCCTTTCAAAATGGCACCTACTGCCTTTATAGTAACTAGCTCTTTCAGACATTATAGGTAAAGCTGAAATAATAACCAAACAAATGACTCATAGGAATATATATATTTTGTTTTTTTGTCACCATGCTTATAATTCTACCATTAGTAAATACAGCTAGGATTGTGGTTGGGATAGAATAGAGGAGAAAGATAGTGGTGAGATGAAATATTAAGCTTTAGGGTGTTACTACCTTTTAGTAATCTTTAGTTGGGGAGATCATTTACTAAGAGAAAAGAAAACTGATAAAAGAAAAAAATAATAAGATGATGAAAGCCATAAGTTCCAAGGTAGGTATGGTGAACAGAAGAGGTAGAGTTCTCCTTAAAGGGATGAAAATGCAGAACAGAGAGGATGGGGATGATGTTGATAAGCTTTACTTACATCACACTTATTTTTAAATCTACATGCAACCATACAGTTATGAGATAGTCTCAATAAAAAAAATCATCTTTGCTGGTTATATTCTACTTAAAATAACAGTTAATGTAATAGTTGGCCACTGAAGTATATGAAGTTTTAATTATTTTCTGATTATAAAAAGTATACATTTAATTTCCCCATTAAAAGATATTGACTTTTTTGGTAACAAGATGCCATATTTTTAAAACTACAATTTATAATGCACTATAAAATTAGCATAAATGTTCCTGTGCCCTTGGATTTTATGTTGTTTCCATATGTAAAAATAGTTGTCAGAATTTGAGTTGATTTATTTTAACTTAAAAAAAATGTGGTCATTGTGATGATTGTTCTAGAATTTGATGCATTTCCTATTACTGTTTGATCCTTAGAAATATTCCCTTTTTGCTTGTGATAATTTGTCATTTTGAATGAAATAGGCTTAGTACAAACATTGTGCTCTGACACTTCTGAGTGCTACTGTTGAATGATCTTGATCCTGCTCTCCAGTCAACCTTTGATCATCAGCATTCCGTGAAACCTCACAGAGAGCTGTTATTACAGTAAGTCATGGTGAGAGCACCAAGATCAGCGGGGTCTCTGCGTGCCATACCCGCTGGGCAATCTTAGGCCTCATCTTTCTGAGTTTCCCAGGAGCATTTGACTCAGAAGCTCACTCCATCTTAAAATTCCTCCTTTGGCTTCTGAATTTCTTCAGTCTCTCCCTTAGTTTCTTTGGCCAGATCCTGTTTCTTTCCTGAGTTCCAAATGGTGAGGCACCAGAGGGTCAATTCTCAGACATTTCTATCAACACCTGGTAAGCTCAGCCAGCACATGCATACAAACCACCTATACACTGATGATTCCTCAGAGCTACAGCTCTAACTCTTACCTTTTTCTTAACACAAAACCCACTTGACAACTATTTCTGGAAATAAAAAGGCTTACAAAGTTTAACACATCTAAACAGAATCCTTGATTTTTTTTCCTTTGAAAAATGTGCTCTTCTCTATTTCTCATATATGTAATTGATATGTCATTCACTCACTTTCTTGGGTCAAAAAATCTCTGAAATTATCTTTGGTAATGCTCCACCTTCAATTTATTATCAAATCCTGTTACACCTCCAATTCAAAATGTATCTTAAAAGGTCCATTTCTCATTAACTCCACTGCTACGGTTGTAGTTGAAAGCAACCTCATTGTTACCTAGGTTGTACTAACTGTGCTGTTCCTCCTGATGTCATCTCTGAGGTCTATTCTCTCCCCTCTAGACTGAAAGAGGCTTTTAAATGTCATACCCTGACTTGACTCTTTAACACCCTTTAATGGCCTCGCTTCCTAATTAGGATTAAATCTGAACTCCATTTTTTGCAGGTCACAAGACCCTGTGTAACCTGGTTTTATCCTGGTGATTTCTCCATCACCATGCTGCCAACCTCCCTGTTGTTCACTGCTCTCTCACCAGAATCTCTTCCTTTTTGTTCTTTGAACAAGGCCTGCTTGCTCTGACTTCAGAGCCTTTGAGTTTGCTGCCCTCTCTGCTTCTCTCTCTCATTTGGTCATGTTTCTACTCAAATGGCAAAACCTCAGAAACGGTGACTTCTCAAACCTCTAAAAATAGCTGACTCTTTCACTCTCTACCTTCACGTCCAGTTTGATTTTCTATACAGAATTTATCATCACTTGACATTATGTCACACACTTATTTGTTAGCTTGTTTACTGCTTGTCCCCACTACTACAATATAATCTCCACAAGAACAGCGACTTTATTTTTTTGTCTATTGTTCTATGCCTAGCATAAAATTTAGTATTAGTATACCTTCAATACATATTTGTTGGATTAATAAATGAATGGTTTATTTTTTAGGAAGAGAAGAATTGTGCACAAATCTAAATCATATGTGATCTTTGCAGGACCTCACAGAAAACTGTTATTACAGGTGAATCATGGTGGGAAAGTGAAGGTCATGCTCTGAGGGCAGGCAGAACAAAGGTGGAGAGGGGCTGGCTGCGTGAGAGGAGCACGGCTTTGACCTATAGGAGACCGGATCCTCATTCCTCTGCACGCCAGAATACACTCTGTGGCTTTCTAAAAGTGTGCACACCAGACGCTCTGATGGAGGGGTCGAGGTGGACCTATATTTACAGAGTTGTTTTAGGTTGGTTTCCTTAGAAGCAGAGCTTGAGACGGAGATTTGAGTGCATTTGGTTTATTGTGAGCGTGCTTACAGTAGACTGTAGGAAGGGAGGAAAGGAGAGTGTGAAAGAAGAGGGAGCCGAGCAAGAGTGTGGTCCCAGGTAACCTGGCCCTAGTCGGATGCACCCAGCAACGCTCCAAATTATAAACCGCATCATAAGTTTGTTTCCTCCTTGAGGAAGGGACTAGTGTCAGTCAGAGTCAGCCATTGGCCTTGGGTTGGGTTGCCTGTTTGTAGGGAAGGTGACTTTTCAGGTAAGACAGTGCCCCTCAGGAGAGGGCAATTCTCCAGAGAGAAGCTGAGAACCATTAGCCAGCACTCACAGCAGCTGGGGGATGGTGCAGTGGCCCAGTGAAGGAGAGCTGGGAAGAGCACCCCCATATCTTCTATATTGGTATTAGAAGAGGATGATTGTGAAGCGCAGATATTCATTCACTCAACAAGTATATATTGTAGGTGCCATGAACCAAGTACTACCAGTCCTGGTGATCAGACATGGTTCCTGAAGCATGGATAGGAAAAAGAGTGATTTTAATAAAATGAATGTGCAATAATGATCAGATAAATGCTAAATTACCTATCACCAAATAATGAATTGAAGCAAGACTGTAGAGAAGAATCCATGATTTTTGTCTAGGTAATTTGTCCTTATACTAGTACATGGTCCTTGCTGTCACTTAGAAATATTGTAAAAACTCTTTATCACAGTAATCATTTTTTAATACTAGCTGTATATTATTCAAATAGTTCTCACACATTATTTAAAAACTCTAATAGAATAAGGAAAAGCTTGTGTTGGTGTACAAGTTCTATACTTGATCATTTTTCAAAAATCAAGATGATTTTCTCTTAGTGGGGTTAAAACAGCAAAAAGAAAAAGAAAAAGTTTAAAGGCAACTGAGATATTGGGTTGGGTGCTAATTCTTTCTTGTCTTTTAGAAATTACCCCCCAACCACTACCCCCAGTTCTGGTGAAGGCAAGAACAAGAGCTACGTGAGGAATAGGGATCTTGTTTTTGTGGAATATCCAAGTTCACAGACTGCCCACACTCCTGGAGGCTAACATTTCATTAAGTTGATGAGTTGTTATAAAATGTTCACCATTATAAGGCTGACATAACTGTGTTTAAAAATAGAAAAATTTAAGGAATGAGAAGTCATTTCAAAAAAAAAGCACAGATCACAAAGCTCCAAACAAATTTGAGAATTTAGCAGTAGGGGGTAAGATTTGCCAAGGACAATATAGTAGAAAGACTTATTTTATACATTTAATTATTAGAGGAAAATATACAAAAAAAATTCTTAACAACCAATAAATTGGATAACAGTAAGTAGCCACCTGTAGCTATTGAAATAGGTCTATTTTCATCTGTCTTTTTATAAAAAAAAAAAATCTTTGCATGGTGCTATGGAAACATACTGAAAAATAAGCCAGCTAATGAGCAACATAATACATGTCCATAAAATAGTATATTTCTTACTTTCTTTGCCACCAAGAAAAATTTCAAAGGAATGTAATTCTGTTAAAATGTCACCAAACCAGCTCTTTAGGAGAACGCGATGCCAGCAGAAATAACAAGGCCTGTTTTCAATAATTCTGTTCATACCTCAAATCCCTGTGGTCTTCCTAGGCTCTCTTTCAGATGTTTCCATGCAATAAGAATCTCTGACATGGACACACTTGTAGCTTTGACATCCGTGGGAGCGGCACTGGGTTCTGTAGGAAGGAAAGTGGAAATAATAAACCACAATGGTAGCAAGTTAATGTCCATCAAAGATGTTACTTTTTCCACCATCTTTTTGCAATGAAGTGCTGTGGTAGTTCCAAAAAACACCAGATAAAAAGTCGATCTTTTTGGATTTCTATACTTCGGTCAAGTCTCATCAAACCTTACCAATGACGAATCTAGGAAGATGAGCAGAGAAGATCTTTGTCCTTGGATTAACTAGGACATTTCTGGAGAAGTTAAATTGTTTGACTTAAATTGCCTGCCATGTACCATAAAGATCAAAAGCATGGACTAGGTGTCAGGATTGGCCTTTTTTTTTTTTTTTTCTGTGCTGTTTGCATTCAAAAACATTATATATTTATTTACCTTAAGGCAAGTAGCTTCATCTTTTCCTAAGCCCAGTGCCCTCATTTGTAATGTGCGCATAATAAGAGTTTAGCTTAGAGATTTTTTAGATTAGTTTTAATTGGAATAACACATACGAAATATTGAGCACAGTCCTTGGTACTTAAAATATTCATTCACAAAATACCAGTTATTATCATTTTATTTTTTTAGCCGTTGCAGGCACAAAGAGTCTAAATTACATGAGTTGTTTTGTTGTTCCAACCACAAAACCACATTTCCATGATTGTATAAGGAATATGTTATGAATCACGGTATTTAAAAGGCATGAGCTGACTTTTAAGACAACTGTAGGGAGAAAAGGAACAGTCCCTGAAGGTCTCCAGGCTGTTGCTATGCTCAGCGACATTTCTCACTATTTTTTTTTCCAGTGCACCATGTCTGACTGGCATCCATCAAGAGCAGCACTTTGAGGTTGCACTTGATGTGAGGAAAAAAATATTTTCAGCTTTGACACTGCGGAATCATAAATACTATGTCACAAACACATATGCAATGAAATGACAGAATAAAGGCTATACATTAGTTCAAATAGTTCTGTACAAATTTGATTTAAAAAACTATCCCTTAAAATCTGTAGAGACTTTAATATTAGCTCCATATCACTGGTAAGAGCTCAGATTACTCTGTCGAAAATGTTTTTTGTTGCTGTTGTTGTTTTTTGTTTGTTTTAGATTTAGGCAACCATATGCCAAAGACAGAATTCTAAATAAAAGTTTTAAAAGTCATTACGAGAAATATAGAAAGAATTCTAACAATTTTTTTTGTGTGTGTGTGTGGAGATTTTTCCATTTCCAATGGAAGGTAGTCACACATCTATTTGGAGAGCCTATGCGTAGTATTAGTTGAGAAATATCAATCAAACATCTGCCTTTGTTATTGTAAAAGGAGTCCACAGAAGATTTTCAAAGGTACATGTCTGCACAGAGAATGATTTTCTTTTGGTAAAGCATTCATTAAGATCACATGCTATGATTGCGTTAATTCAAAGTGCTGTGGTGAATTCACATTAATCTTTACATGGAAGCTGACATAAATTCCTGTCATGGTATAAACTTTAATTTCTCATTCTGTCCCTCTTTGAATATATTTTATTATTTACTTTTGCTAGTGGTTTCCCTCATCTCACTTTGCAACTGCCTGTTATTAGTGCATTTACCTGATTTTTTAAAAAAAATTCTGGGGAAAGTTTCTACTATTTTATTCTAAAATTCATGTAGGCTGGCTTGCAAAAAAAGTTTTTTCATTGCTATTTAACAGAAGTAAGATTCTTGATTTTGCAAGTAAAGGAAAGGAAATGCTCATGTTCTCAAGATGTGTACACCCTGATCTCCAGGAGTTCGGATATGATCTACGGATTTCAAAGACAGCCACTCAGGGTAAATTGGCTATTTGGAAGCAGTTTTGCTTATCTTTTAAATGAATGCATTGCAGAGATTTGTATGCCAAATGCCTCATTTCAGCTTTTATATTATTGAAGCAATTACATCTTTGCAGGGGGATAAATAATTTCAGAAGCACAAAATATGTGGTTAGGTGGCAGCTTTTATATCTCTTTCCAGGTCTAGAAAAAGTATTTCTCTATCAGCTTTCTGTAGCACTACACAAATTTAAGTATTTCTCAAACAACCATAAGAAAGTTTTAAAAAAGTAAAAAATAAGAAAAGTTAAAAAAGATAAATATTCAGAAACCTATTTCTCAAACAAGCATCCTGATTTCTATTTATAAGCTCTGAGGATATTAAATCAGGGTCAAACCCAAGCTGACATTTCACATTTGCATTCTTGCAGGCTAAACATTATAGTTGCATCTAATTAAATAAGGGTAAATAAATCAAGAACTGAAGAGTCATTTTTTTTCATTTGTTTCACCTTCTAGATGTACATAATAACAGAAGTAGATGTACATATTACACCAAAATAATACCTAAACTTGAAATTTCAGCAAGTGAAATCATAATCTCAGTCAGTTTACTTCCAAGGGTTTCAGTATGTGCCATTCACAGCCAAGTGAATATTCTTGTGTGAATCAAAAAGTTTGTCTGTAATACTGCACTGAAGGCCTGGGAGGGGGTGGAGTAAGATGGAGGGAGTCAATGGGAAGAAAAAGGAGACATCTGTCATACATTCAACAATAAAGATAAATTATCAATCAATCAATCATTTCAAGCTCTAACAATGAAGTTTGTCTGTAGGCAGGAGTAAATGACTGGGTCACAGCATATCTGGGTTGGATTGGAACTAGCTATTTGGGTATCCCATTGTCCCTGAGTGATGGAAGGTCACAACTACAAAGAATTTTCCAGAGACACTTGGATCAAAGCTCACAATGGATGGGCAGTTGGTCTCCAGTCATCTTTTTGTCTAAATAATGTATTAAATTAAGTTATTCTAACATTTCATGTAAAAATAAAAACTTCTGGCTTCTTTGGGACAAACGGGTAATATCAATCCTGAATACTTGGGTGTTGGTGGATGAGAATTAGCAGCTGGCCCCATTAGTCAGGGCATGTTCTTTCAGAAGAGTCCCTATTTTATCACACTGAGAATACTTCACTTATTTCTATTTCTTACCTGACCTCTATAGGCTTCGGGATTATAAACCTATGTTTTAAACCCATGTCCTCATTTTGCAGAGGAAAAATGTGACATATCTAAACTCTGCTTCCAGCTCTGCACGAGTCCCAACTAGAACTCATGTCCTCTGTTGTAAAATGGGCTCCAAGGAAGTGGCTGGCTCATTCTCCATCTCTAGTCAGTTGGGGGGCATGGAGAGAGATTTTATAGGAAACATATATAATTCACTTTCTCGCTGCCCAATTACCTCCAAATAACTGACAGAGTAATGAATGGAATCAAATTAAAAATAAAGAGCAGCACAGCAGTGGTTGAGTGGTTTGATCCCCAGTGTGGGGCATGCAGGAGGCAACAGGTCAATGATTTTCTCTCATCATTGATGTTTCCATCTCCCTCTCCCTCTCCTTCTCCCTTCCTCTTTGAAATCAATAAAAAATAGATAAGGAGCAAAAACAAAGGTAATAATTGCCAATTTCTGAGCATTTGACATGTGTCAAACCCTATTCATATTTCTTATATGTATTAATTGATCCTCTAACAACCCTACTGTCACTATTTTCAGATGAGGAAATTGAGGGGCAGAGAGATAAGCAATTTGCCCAAAGTCACACAGCTGCAAGTGGGTGGAGAGAGGTTTTGAACAAGGCAGTTAGGGCTAACCACTATGCTATTCTGCTTCTGTGTATGTGTCTGTGTAATACACACCCTTTGTTATTGCTCTCTCTTCTCCTTGCCCCTCCACTGCTGACTTCCCTCACGACTATTGATGTTGGGATCCCCACCTGGGTTCTACAAGTCTTGCCAGAAACTCCCTAGACCTCCACATTTCCTATTTAACCTGCCACGAGCTTACTATTAAATTTTAAAATCTTTTATGGAATTTTGATAAATTAGAATCATAGCTGCACTGCTCCTCATAGATCCTGTCACATTCACGCGTCTCTAAAACTCTCCTGATCTGTAAACCACAGGATGTTTCCTGCCACTCTCACTTCTATTATACTCAGGTAATTTGATGAAAATTCAAGAATCTATTTCTGAGATCTTACTCGTGTTATATTTAATAGACTCAAAGACTTGAAAAGATATCTCTCTCTGATATTGTAATGAGGGCATGGTTAACTGCACTCCAATCTTGGCATAGGAAATGGACAGACTGATTGATAGATTTCAGTTTCTGTTAGATTGAAAATTTGGAACAGCATTACCATGTTCATGAATTTAGATGATACATTTGTATTAAGTGACCTAGCAGCAGGACTTCTCCAAGTAATATGGGGGGCTGTGCTTGAAATATTGATTATACATCTGACTTCCCAGGAGCAGTGGGTAACAGCATTAATCAAAGGAGGGTTTAATAAACTCCTTGGGAGAAGGGTTATGGTTTCATTATTTAAAAATTCAGTGAAAAAAGCTGTAGTTGAACTTTTACAGACACTAATCCAAATGGATCATCTGGCAAAGACAGGAAATTATATCTTGTATTTTACAATGAATATGCCAATTTATTAATTTTCAAGTTCACATAAATCCCACTGAGCTCAGTTTCAGCTGAAAACTGATTGGAGGAATAACACCTCATGAATGTTGGGTTCTAATTTGAGCTGTGGTATCTCCATTCGCAAGGAGATAATTGCATACGATTTTATGAAAACGAGGAGAGGTTTTTGGTTTTAATAAAAAGAAAAGCAGCCCATATTTTACATACAAGACAAAAGCAAAAAACAAAAACAAGAAAACACACAAAAAACGCCACAACAATAAAAATCACACACACAATACACCAAAATGCTAGAAAAGGCTAAAGCTCATCACAAAAAAACAAATATTTCAATCTATAATTAATCTATATTGAATTTTTCCATATTTTTCTGTTAGATGTAATTAAATGTTAAGGGTATCTCCATTTTCCAAAGCTATAGTAATAAGAATTAAATGGAAAATGGGTGTAAGTTTGACAAGTATGTCTAGAAATATGGCAGTAAAAGTCAATCTGATTTTTCATCTAGAAAAAATATCACTTTTATCACTTCTACCATATATTTCTAATATCACTTCTGTTGAAACTTTGCTAGTCTTAATAACATTAGAACTGTTTCCAAAATGAGGGTATTGTATAAGATTATGTCATACCCTCATATCTGAAGTCAAGTCAGGGTTAGTGCGTATGTAAGTCTTGCTTGATTTAAAGAGTATAGGTAATCAATAGATGTGCAGTGTGCATGGAAGTGATGTCAGATGCCGCTTGGCACTGATGGAGCAATTCAGGGTTACTTCTATTGCGGAAACCATGGAGCTTTCTGACAACCCTAGGGCAACAACCAACCTCAGTGTCATGAGTCAAGGCATTTCCCAAGGGATTTACTAAGTATCAATATGTATAAATGATTAGTTCTCTTAATAACAGATCACATTCAAGGTTTTCACTATAATAATGTAATTCTTACTTGCATTTAAATAAGCTTTCTTGAGAGGAAAATGAAAAGATGAGAGTATAGGGAATGCACATCAACACCTATGGAAGTGTGTTCTGCATGTGAGATGCCATCCATGTGCCAGCGGGAAATGGGTAGCTAACTGGTACTGTAAGGTGTGTCTTGTAGTCCTTGTGGTTTGTGGTTCCCTCCAATCAACATTAATTCTGTTAGCTACTTTTGATTCAGCATCTGGGACATGTTTTCTTCCTGATTTGATGTCAGCTCTAGGCAGGTATCGGGTATTTCGGATATGAAGAGAGAGAACTATGCCCATAAGCAGAACTAGAGAGCCATCTCCCTCCTCTTATTCTGTATATAAATACAGAGGGATTTTAGGGTGTAAACAGGTGAACTAGGTTAATGAAAGAACAAACATGCAGAATTTGTCTTATGGGGAAATACTGTCTCTATCAGATCAGTTGGGCCTCAGACGAGACTATGATGATGAAGGTACGCTGTGAATCTGTATGAACGTCCATAGGCAGAGGGAGGCATCTGCACTGGCATGAGTCCAATATTATTTTATACGTTTATTACAGGCCTTGACTCTTTAAAAATGGCTCAATCTGGAAAACCTTTACTCCTCTTCAAGTAAAGCAATTTGCCAAGTGTTTAAAAAAGGGTGTTGATTTCCTTCTTTTTAGTATATAACAAAAGTGGGGGAAATTAAAAACTTTGAAATGAATATTTTAGGATGTAGAATAAGTTGACAAAATTTCAGTTGTAGCTTTGTAATGGCTTCCAGAGATGTTCCAGTTCAAGACTTAGATTTTTTTACATGGAGGAAGGTAAGGGTCAGAGAGATGGTTAAACGGCCCGGGACGCACAGTGTGTGTGAGCAGACTGAACTCGGGCTTTGCTGACTCCAGGCACCGGCTCTCCCTTCCCACTGTACTGCCTTTCTTAGTTGACATGATTTAATGATGCTAAACACTTTACTCATATTTACACACAAAGTTCCAAATTAGTAAATTTAATTAGTGAACAATACCAAAATATGTTTGAATTTTGTTGTCAGGACAAAGGCAGATTCTATCCAGATTTAATTTGCTGATATTTTTCATATTTCAGTCTACCAGAATAAATGAAATGTTACTATGAAATGTTACAGTAACAACCTCAGTGTCTTTGAAAGAAAATATGCATATTTCCTATCTAGTTTGAAAGAGAAATCTCCAAAGGCAAACCATTTCAAGTTTAAGGAAACTCAGTATAAACAACCCATGGTAGCTGCTATAATTCCATTTCAAAGCAAAAGTTGACAAGGAAAGTACAATTCTGGATTTCTTAAAGGCAGCACTGGTGTTAACATACAAAACATGTGCACAAACGCCTCAAATTCATCTTATGTAACCTTTGGGGCTATGTGCTCGATGATTAGGTTGAAGAAATTTTAAGGCAACAAGAGTAAGGACTTCCTGAATAAAACATGTAGTTCAAAATAGATTTTTGGTGTAACATAATACAAAATGTTATTATATAAAATAACATAATACATTAATAAAATATTATTATATACATTCCTGATGATATAGTATAGGGTAGTGGTTAAAAGTATGAGCTTTGGAGTCATACACACTTAGGTTCAAATCCCAGGTCTGCCACTTAACTACAGTCACTTACAACTGTCACTTCCTGGTGTCAATTTGAGCATGTTCCTTAACCTCTCTGAGCCTCAGTTTCCTGAAAAGTAGATTGAGGTTTGAGATTCCTATCTCATATTTGGTTATAAGAGTTAGTATAACTAATATAGTCCACCAGCTCTATCTGAAACACATCAGACATTTGAGATGTTAAGTGCATGGGTACGTCATTGGAACATCTATAATTTGTTGTTATTACTTGGTTCTTCACTTTCCTGGTCATTCTTTTTTTAATATATATATTCTTTATTGATTAAGGTATTACATATGTGTCCTTATCCCCTCCATTGTTCCCACACCCCTGCTTCATGCCCTCACCCTCCTAGTGTCTGTGACCATTGGTTATGCTTATAAGCGTGCATACAAGTCCTTTGGTTGATCTCTCCCCCTTAACTCCCACCTTCCCCTACCTTCCCTCTGAGTTTGGATGGTCTGATCGATGCTTTACTATCTCTGGATCTGTTTTAGCTCATCAGTTTATGTTGTTCATTATATTCCACAAATAAGTGAGATCATGTGATATTTATCTTTCTCTAACTGACTTATTTCGCTTAGCATAATGCTCTCCAGGTCCATCCATGCTGTTGCAAATGGTAGGAGTTCCTTCCTTTTTACAGCAGCATAGTATTCCATTGTGTAGATGTACCACCGTTTTTTAATCCACTCATCTGCTGATGGGCACTTAGGCTGTTTCCAAATCTTAGCTATTGTAAATTGTGCTTCTATGAACATAAGGGTGCATATATCCTTTCTGATTGGTGTTTCTAGTTTCTTGGGATACATTCTTATGCTAGGATAAACTTTCTGCCTCTGCTTCAAAATCTGGCTCTATGTTAGGCAAATATAAGGCAGCTTGTTTTGAAAAACTACATCTTACATAAATCAGAACCTACTTTTGTGCTTCAATATTTAAAGGGCCTTATTTATATCCTCTTATGAACTCCAGTACAAAAAGATGAATAATTCTCTTCAGCTTTTTAAGTCACAGATGTGGGCACAAAAGAAGTAAAAAGGCCAGTTTATAAAGACAATCATTATTTGGAAGGTCAAGTAAATGTTGCCTTTGGTGGAATATTTTCTTAGTGATTTGTAAATTTAGGAAATGGAAGGCATTATTTTTACACTCAGGGCCAATGAAAAATTTGCGCTTGAATAGAAGGACTAAGAAGAAAAGCTAATTTTAGGGTAAGATCTATCATGCTTTTTCTCACTGAGAAAATTGGATTTTTGTTTTAAAACTTGACAAAGCCCAGGATTTTGATGAAGAAAGCCGAGTAATGGGTTTACTGCCTGCTAAGTCCTGCCTACCTCATGGTTTTATATTGAGAATTACATGAGATTAAGCATATGAAGGCAGTGTGCTACAGAAAAATCAAGGATTTAATGATTACACAGACCTGAGCTTATTCTCAATTACAAGCTGTGTAACCTTTAACTTTTCTGAACTTGAATTTTCTTTTATCTATAATGGGGATAATAATGCCTATTAGGCAACATTGTCAAGGGGATTGAAAGATGTCACGTGTGAAAACCTTCCAACAGGAAACCCTGTCTGAAACTTCTTTGTCAGTGCAATGTGGTGTGTATGACATTAGTCATAAATACACATAGTTATTATTCATATAAATGGTTTCTTCATTTAAATTTATTTTATTTAAATTTAATGGGTTAAAATATAAAATTATCTACATTTCAAACCATAGACGGTTGGTTAAATGCCGATCCAGAGAATAGAATACACTACAGCTATTAGTAATATTGTTATTATCATGGAAATATATTTGCCATATATCATTAGAAAGTGAAGAACATGAAGTAACAGATATGGAATGATCAATTTTGTTAAATGAAAATTATTTGGAAAAATATATCTAAAAAGTATGGTGAGACTATAGGTGAGTTTTATTTCCATTTTGGTGTATCTGTGTTTTGTAATATTTGTACAATAATATCTCACCCATATAGCAAAATAAAATATTAAAATATATTGAATAAAAATAAGGATAAAGAAACTGACCTCCTTCAGCTGAGCAGATGACCACAATTTGACTAAAAGGTCCATCCCCTTTATTGTTGTAGACACCAACTTTCACTTCAAAGGGAGTAAGAGGAGGAACACTTTCATCTCGATAAATGAACTTCGAAGCTTCAGAGGATGTCACCATTTTCTCCTTCCACCCGCGTGTTCCATTGGGCCTGAAAGCCACAATATAGCCAAAGCCTTCCCCATTCTGAAACTCTTCAGATACTGGCTAAAGAAGAAAAATGCAATTAATTATAAGTGAAATAATGAATTAAAAAATCCACTTCTTCCAAAAGTTTAAATTTTTAAAAACTATGGGTAACTAGAGAAAAGGAGACTCAAATCTTTATGGTACACTCGAGGCCTAGTGCACAAATCTGTGTACAGATGAGGTCCAGCTGGCCCACCCTGATCAGGGCAAGGGGGCTGATCAGGGGTGGGGCTGGCTGGGGGAGGGGACATGGGTGGTTAGCAGCCAGCCCCACACCTGATAGGAGTAGGGGGAGCTAATTGGGGGTGGGGCTGGCCAGGGGGAGGGGCCCCTGCCCCCTGGTCAAGCTCCTGGTTGAACTCCCAGTTGAACTCCCAGTTGAGGGGACAATTTGCATATTAGCCTTTTATTATATAGGATTAAAAGCCAACATAGCATAATCACTTGGCAGTTGCTGGAAATTTAAAAGGCTTTTAAGGGTAAAGGATGAAAAATTAAATAATATTAGTTGGTATTTAAGGAAAGTATTAAGAGTACTGAAAATTCCTGAAGTGAAACAAATTTGCTCCAATTAGTCCTATATATGAAATGAAGGCCTTTGGATTGCACACTAGAATTTAACAAGTTGGAGGAAATTATCATATAATCTGGGGGTCGGGAAATCTTGTCACTGGTGATGCTATGTTGAGCTGCTAGCACAGAAAATCTAGGAGACATTAATGTAAAATCTTTCTTCTACTGTTGTTTTTTTTTAAAATTTCTTTTGTGCTTTACTAACATATGAAAAAATTGAAATATAGTATTTGTTCAAGAAACTTCCTGTACTAAAAGGCTTATACTTAAATTTGTTAAATGGGCATCAGTTATGCATCAAAAAAAGGAGTACTTGTGATTGACTAGTTAGTGAATGGAACAGTTACCAGCCACTGCCTAGCACAATACTCAACACATTGTAGATACTCAATAAATAATTGCTAAATTTTTTTCTTTTGAATTTTGATTTGAGAAAAAAGTGTATTGAGTGGAATAAAAGAGACAGGACTATTAAATGAAAGTACTACAGATTGAATTTTATATCCCTCCCAAATTTATGTGATGAAATCCTAACCCCCAGTGGGATACTATAAGAAGAAGGGCCTTTGGTGGGTGATTTGATTATAAGGAAAGAGCCTGCATGAATGGTATCAGTGCTCTTACAAAAGAGACTGGAGAGCTCTCTTGCCTCCTGCCATTGAAGACAGTGAGAAAATGACTATCAACCAGGAATCGGGCCTCACCAGGCCTCAACCTGCTTGTAGACTTGATTGTAGACTTCCAGCTTCCAGCACTGTGAGAAATAAATTCCTGTCATTTATAAGCCACCTGGTCTATACAATTTTTGTTCTAGCAGCCTGAGCTGACTTTGACACAAAAACTGTACAGGGAAGGCAATTCCATTTAGAGAAATTTGATCTCGGTGAAGTTCAGGTATTGGGAAGTTAATTCCTCTGCAGAAATCAAAACAAGACAAAATGTTTTATTGAAGAAGAGGGGAATGGACATAAGAGCAGGACAGAGTGTGCTCATGGAAAATTTCTTACTGGGAAAAGATGTTTTTCTATACATTTGATCATTGTCCCTAGAGTGTCAGGAATTTGTTTAGTTTTCTCCAGTAGACATTTTCATTTAGATTCCATTTTCATATTTTAAGGCATAGTTTTGTGAGCTACATTGCTATATTGAATAATAAGGTAATTTATCATCAAAAAATGAAAGTGGCTTCATGAAAAATAAATGCACCTCTCACACTTCTTTGATAAGGAACGGAGATCATATGGTGAGTGAGACAAAAGAACATAAGTTTTGTTATCCAAGTCCCCAATTCTACTACTTCTCAGAGAAAGTAGTTAAATTCTGCCTCAGTTTCATGATTTTTAACACAAGGAAAATGATCCCCACTAATAGGATTGTTGTATGGGATAAATGAGATAAGCAAGGCATTATGCCACAAAGTCAGTGGGGGGTCAGTTCCTTCCTCCCCACTAGTTTTAGACTCCAAATAAGTCAAGGGTGCTACTTAATCTTGAAATAATTAAATATTGAGCTAAGCCAGGCAGACATCTGAAGTAATATATGAGTTTTAATCAAACTTTACTATGAGATAGCCTGTTCACAGGAGGGCATTCCACAGACTTGGAGAAAAGTCAACTGGGGCTTGGTGTGAAAATGAGAAAGGATGATGCTGGCAATATCTATCTGAGCAATGCATGTTCAAAGTGTTCCTTCACCTAATTTAAACATGAATTATTAAGTCTCCCTGTACCAAGTACAGACACTAAATATGTAGCCGTATTTCCTAAGGACTCAACTAGTTCTGACATCCGAGTACAGGCTTTCTTACCTCCCAGGCAATGACTAACTCGTGCCTTCTTCCACTTCTTCCACTTACGTTGGTGGGTGCTGTCTTTGGAACTGTGGATAAAATGGGCAGAGAGCAAGTGATAAATACATGTGTAATTTAAGTGTCTTTATAGTAAGAACACATCATTAGGTTGGGTAAAATCCTGATATAAATAAATCAAAGTTTGTTCGAAGTTACTGGTGATATTCAGTATTAAAACAAGATGTTTGTGACAGATACCCTACTTTCAAATCTATGAGTGATACGTGTTTTTCTTGGCCACATACCACATCCCCAAACCAGTCTTCTTGTGCATGCTATGAGAGAGTAAGGTCTAAATTATAATTAACTTTATAGATAAGGACATCTACTAATGGTTAGTTTTTGTCCTACAAAATTTCTATTTCTCCTTCTTTCTAGGGATGTGGCTCTTTTCTGTGGTTTCAGGGCTTGCAGACTCCCTGGAAAACCCACAGGCTGACATTAGCATTATTGCTTTATGAAAGCCCCCTAAAGAGCTCTTAGCAACACTTCCATGGATTGAAAATTTATTTAAACAAATAAACATTAAAAAATAAAACTAAAGAATGAATCTCTCTGCAAACTGCAAAATATATAAGCATCCTGTGAAACTTTTTCAAATAAATATTAAAAGAATAAATGTGTCAAAGGAATTAATTTCCCCTTCACCACACCAAACCACAAAATCTGCAGCTGAAAGGAAACATTTTCAAATGAAGAACTGTTAAATGAAGAGAACTATTAAAAGAAATCATTTTCCAGCCTATGAGCCTGCAGGAGCAATTTTACACTTCAGCGTTGGATTTATATCTCAGAATATAGTTTTTAAACACCATTGATATACTCATAAACAATAAATTCACTCCCATATATTACATGCCTCTATGAAAGGCAATTAATTACTGGTAGATACTCACACAGCATTTTATATACCAGAAAAAAATTATGTAGAATTTATATTCTACTAGAAATAAATAAAAAATAAACATTCTCCTTGGGTAAGAGAGGTAGAAAAGAAAAGTCTGTGAATATATAATTGGCTCCACTGAAACAAATAAACTACATTTGCTAGGGTCCCAACTTCAGTGTCCTTGGACACTTTGCTCCATGAACTAGTTCTTCTTTTGCTTGTGCACATGTAGAAGTCTACACACAACAGCAGCTACCTATCATTCTTTTCTCACAGTTACATGTATACTAAAGATTATTCGCCCTGGCCGGGTTGCTCAGTTGGTTGGAGTGTCATCACATACACCAAAAGGTTGTGTGCTCAATTCCGCATTAGGGTACATACCCAAACTGCTTGCTTGATCCCCAGGAGGGGTGCATATTGGAGGCAATGATTGATGTTTCTTTCTCACATTGATGTTTCTGTCTCTCTTTATTCCTCTCTCTCTCAAATCAATTTAAAAAAAGATATCTTCAGGTGAGAATTAAAAAAACTTACTTATGTATGGAGTTCACTCTCATAAATTTCCTCAGAATTACATGAAATTGGATACCTCTTTATCTTTCATTCAAGAAGTCACAAGAAATTCAACTAAGAAAAAAAATGACAGTGTTATAGCAATAACTGAATATGTCCAATTTATACGAACAATGAGCAAATCATTTTATGTGAGTTTTTGGTAATAGTCATGGTTATTGTTACATATAATAGCTATGACCTTAACACCATGTCCCAAAACCAGTGTTATATAGGACTAATTCTAAATTCCTTTCCTAGTGTATAGTATGAGTAAGGCACACAAGAAGGGAGCTGGTTTAATTGTATTCCCTCAGTGGCTAAAATCTCAGAGTTCTGAATATTGTAACTATTAATACATGGTCAAATAAATAGTAAAAGCAAGATAATTTGTTAACATTATGCCATTATGGCTTGTCTTAGTAGCACTTGTTTGTTTTTTTAAAAAGTGTACTCTGCACCCCCATTATATGTTTCACATTAATCTCTGACAACTAATAGCCAAATAACATTACAGGTCATATCTACCAGAGGCACACACATTGTCATTTACATTGAAATAGTTAAGTTTATACCTCAAAGTTAGGACTTTATCCTCTTTTTTGAGGACACCATCCTGAATTTTGGATCATGATTTTGTGGAAAGACTAGGCATTGAAGATCCTTTCCTATTTTATTGTGACCTCAAACATCATCTAAAAAGAGGATGCATGGAACCTCTAGAATAGAGTTATAAAGTACCACAGTCAATTAATGCATTTATTTAAAAAAATTAGATTTCTCAAGAGTGTTAATAAAAATAAAAAGAAAGTGGTAAAAAATTTGGTGAAAATTTTCACTTTGAGCAACCAAGAAAGGGAAGGAATACTTTCTTTGATTTGTTTCTTTGGGTAATTTCTATGTTGATTATACATAAATAATCCAGATTGCATAAAATTTCTCTCATTATTTGAAATCAGCCTTTGAGGTTTTCTTACGGCTACTAATTTCTTTTCAAGAGAAGATATCCCATATTTAATTTAATGTAAAAAAAAAATAAGATCCTCTCTCACACTACCTGCAATTTTAATATCTAACACAAATAACACAAAAGGCACTATAGGCCATTTGTGTTTTAGAGACCTAGGTGTATAAAAACCAACTATTTTTAAATAAAAAAAATGTTTAGTAGATATAATAGAAACTACTAATAGAAAACTTAAAGCTTTAAAGAAATGAAAACAACCAAAGTGTCCATCGATTGATGATTAGATAAAGGCAATATGGTATGTGTGTACATATATACAGGGGTGGGCAAAAGTAGGTTTAGCATTTACCATATAAAAAATTATCCAATTAATAAATAATAATGCAAGAATAAACTCTGTTTCGCATACTCACAACTGTAAACCTACTTTTGCCAAACCCTGTATAGTATGAAATATTACTCAGTCATAAAAAAGAAAATCTTGCCACTGGTGGCAACATGGCTGCTCCTTGAGAGGATTATAATAAGTAAAATAAGTTAAACAGAAAAAGACAGACACTTATATGTGGAATATGAAGAAACCAAGAATGGATTGGTGGTTGCCAGAGGTGGGGTATGGTGGGTACAAAATGGATGAAAATGGTCAGAAGGTACAAACTTCCAGTTGTAAGATAAATAAGTCACGGAGATGTAATGTGCAGCATGCAGACTGTAGTTAACAATATTTTATTGTATATTTGAAAGTTGCTAAGAGAGTAGATCTTAAAAGTTCTCACCTCACGAAAAACCTTTTTTACTATGTGAGATGATGGACGTTAACTAAACTTATTGTGGTAATAATTTCACAATATATACATATATCAAACCATGCTGTACACCTTCAATATGTTATAGGTTAATTACATATCAGTAAAACTGTAAAAACAATATATTTTAATTGCATAAATTTTATGCAATAGGGATTATTTATGTATAATCAACATAGAAAAAGAAAACAAGGCTTTAATAGCTGCATCTCAGGAATTATATTTTCTTGTCAGGATCACATTGTGTGAAATGGGTATTCTAATTTTAATTGGCTTAAATTTCCTAATTACATGCAGATGCACAGTAGAACCCAGGCTCATTCATTTTCAAGTCGGTAGCACACAGTTATTTCTGCCATCAATGCTTTGAAATCCACTAATTTTAATTATATCCTTTTATTTATAAAACAACATATTCATGATATATACAAATTTGATTTAATCTTTTAGAGCCCTTCTGCTGTAAAAGTTCTATAATTCTTGTTAGAAATAAAAAATGAATATAATCAAACATCGAATAAATGCTTTGATTGAGTTCAGAGAAATACATATATACTTAAAAACCAAATATATTTTAATGTACTTACTGAGAACCAGATTTAAAATTAAGCAGCTGAATGCGTTTGCCCCTCAGTTATATACTGATAAATGTCCTGAGTTTATTGTCTTAGAGAATCAAGTTTATATTCATGGATAACAGACTAAATTCTGATTCTCCTGAATTTTGTTCTAAGCAACGCTCTTTCAAGAACAGCTAATGTAATTAATATTTTTCCCACAAGCTGGAAATGCTTAGCTGTCTTAGTGCCTTCTCTGGTATGCTGAAAATCATACTCTTGTTTCTTTTCACCATATACATTGGACATACTGCACACTCAGAGTGATAACATATAGTATGCTACCTTAGTTTCAGCAGGCATGAATTTAAGCATGAGTCTCAAAGAACTTTAAGTATAATATTTTAGCAAAGTCAGTCACACTAACAACATGCTTTAATTAACCTTCAATTTAAATTAATTAATTAACAAAACAAAAGAAGGCAGGATGAAATAATTTGCCAATCTCTCTACTTTCCTTAAATAACTTGCAATATCTACTACAGTAGATGTTTACATGGCTTATTATACAAGGGTGGGCAATAGTAAGGACTACAGTTGTGAGTGACATTCTTTTGAGTTAATAAAGCTATTGTAATAATCCTAACCTGCATGCCTTTTGCCATACAAACAACTATAAACTTACTTTTGTCCATACAGCTTCATTAGAGACCTGAGGAGGTGATGAAAATTAGGAGCTTAATGCCAATCCAGTGAATGGTTTGGAAAGTTACAGACGAATGGAAAGAAAGAAAGGAGGTTGTTTATACAGTAAATGTGGGAGTCAAGAGGGAAACTTAAAAGCATCTTCCCTACATGGATTGAAGTACATGGCACATCAATATTTCAGTTAACTGATTATCATTTAAGCTCACTTTATAGGAAGAGTTAAATTCAAAATTCCCAAGATAAAATATACCAGCGTTGTTTCCTAAGGATTTCAAATAAAGCTTTCATTCCTATCAATAGGCTAGAGAAGGCGGTATGCACAAATCGTAAGATGTTCGTGTGGAAATGAGAAAGCTCTGGCCTGAATCCCACTTCCATTTTGGCAGGTTGGGTGGAAATATTTCTTAACCTCTTTGTCCTTTGGTTCCCTCATGGAGATAATATTACCTATATTTCAAGGTTATTTTCATCATTATTTATCAAAATGTCTGGAACTATAATTGATACAGTTTACCTAATGCTATTATCCAGTTAGATTTGAAAAAGA